ATGTCAGACATCTCAAATATGTAAATCTAAGCAGGCAGTATGTATGAGCATGGCTTTATTGTAGTATGACAGACACCTTTACGTAGAACGTAACTTGAAACCGGCCCAAATAAGCAATATGGCGATTACTAGTTATCTGCGTCTTACTTGCCATTCGCAAAGGATGCCGACAACCAGCGAAGCCTCTAAACAGACCCTGGCAGAACGACCATCAAATACGCGTATTCTAACAGCGCCCCCAGTAATCAGTTGCGGCTAATTATTGTTCAATCAGTTTGCATGTTACAAATCCCTCTTTGGCCTTTCATTTTAAACAAAATGGCGGCACTCATGAATCGTGATATTTGTATGATAAAATTGCAAAAGTTTTCGGTGTTGGTGCCCTCAAGCCTCATCGTGTACAGGCAATTGACACAGTTTTGTGTGAAATGGATGTCTTAATGTTTTATTGTCTTATTTTGTTTTATAATTTGGAACGTCCAAGCTGATTGGGCGCCTTGTTTCGAGGTGCGCCCAATCAGATCTCACAAGCCTACTATAAATTAAAAAACCCATAATTTATTCATTTTGCAATAAATTGTACTCCAAGGCATTATAAGATTATTGACCTAAAAAAAGTTAGGGGTTACCCGCCATTTTTTCGAGAAATTGATGGTTGTATTTTAGTGGAAAGTCGCCATTTTGACACTCATAACACTTTTACCACAGGTTCCTATGGCAGAGATATTATTGCAATATCTTAAATCTAGCCTGGTGACATAGGCTGAAAAAATCATATATTGTTAATGATGGAGTACCTTTTGTTCTAAATTATTAAAAAAAATCTGGGTTTTAAAAAGTGGCAAAAAATGCAATTTTTCTTTAACATTATGTTCTATGGAATTGTTCTAAAGATAGCAGTTTTTAAGAAATATTGTGACATGTTTCCCAAAAAGCATAACTAACATACAAAATAGTGCTATTTCATCATACCATGGGACATTAGTTTCATGATTGTACATAATAAACTAATGAACATCGTCATGCAATTTATGACCAATTTTGTCAAAAATTATGACTAGGCTTCTACTTTAAGGTAGCGGAATAGTTTTTTGGGCACTTTTCACATTTTATTTTGAAAATCACAAGCATAGCTCCATAAGACATGCTACATACATTAGTTGTATTTATTTTATTGAAAAAATAATATCTTGTACAAGTAAACTGGGTTTTTTTCTTGTGTGCAAACAAACACCCAAGTTTTTGTTTATCCAGTGTACACCCCATGAGTGCTTCTCATTAATATTCATGGTTAACAAACATAACTGAACTGAGGCTAAGCTATTGACAAACAACTGATAAGATATCTGTTTGTAGTTTACACACAGCTGATAAGATATGTGCACTGCTTAGTTTCAAGAGGAGGAAGCTGTACAGCAAAAACACTTTCAAAACACAACAAATTTTGAATAAACAAAATACTAGTAGTACATGAGTGTATCACATGTTACCAGATTTTGCCATAAATTCGCCCGGGCCGTTTAACGGCAGTTTGGTATTTTTTAAGATTTTTTTTTTATTATTTTGGGAAGACAAATTTACGTTCTAAATGTTATTTTTAAATCTGTTGTCAAAATAAAAGTACAGTGTAACAGTTGGAGATTTTTTTTTTTTTTTTTTATTTATGTTTGATACATTGTATGCTTTTTAAGATCAGATCAGGGGGCCTTGACTCTTACCGAGTTCCGTGTTGATTGACATTCAACGAGATCTGAATTTTTAATTTGATGGCTGGTTTGAATTTATCCACTTTTAAAGTCATCAATATTTTGATCAAGCGTTTGGAAATAGCATAATTATATTGCGTGAGTGAAAGAAGCCAGTGAAACTGTGTCACAGCGTGTTCTATTTATTTCTGACGCGCGTGGTCGGCGTCTTCGATTATTTTGTATTTTCGTTTTCGAAATGTATCACTCTGCGTTTTTTTTTTGGTCACGGCTCGCAACTGAAAGTCCAAGTTGATTTTGTTTTGGCTGTAAAACTAAAAGCCCTCAAAGTCTG